ATTAATTGTTGTTTTGAATTATTGAAATATTGTATTGTATCGGCACGAAGAGTGTTTCGACTTATCCCAACGTACCTCGGTTGCAGATATTCTTTCACGAACGAGACGAAGTGTTGGTTGTCTGCAATAGCCAGAGACAACTTAGTGGTGGCAACAAATTTCACCATTCCGGTTCGAGTATTGTCCTTTGAATACACCCACGTGGATAGGGGTGAAGTCGTAGAACTGGCACCTGGACTGCCAAATTGCAATTATGTTTGACCAGCTGGAAGAAGTCTATATCTGGCCGCACATGCTTTGTAGTGGCAGTTGAGATAGGTGGTACCAATTCCTTTTTGCCATACCAATCTTTGTTGGCAGTATTTACATACTGCTTGAGATTCTGCAAGGTTATCGACGACTTTTTCCGTTGAAATCAACTTAAAGTGATCCCAACATTTTGCTTGTTTTTTGCCCTTTCGCTTTCTCCTCGCATCTGGGATGTTTAATTCGATATCTTCGTCCTCATGTTCCACTTCAGAAACGTTAATATCATCCACATCAGTTGGATTGTGGCTTCCCTGATCGTAAATGTGAACATCTTCAGGTATGAGTATCTCATTTAGATCGACAAATTCATTTGAAAATTGGCTTTGCGGCGTCCTAGACGATTCTCTATGATGTGGTCCACATCTCGTATCGAATAAGCTCTCAACAAATGAGCGTTGGTCCATTTGTTTGATTGTTTATGATGATATCCAAATATAATAACTAGAAAAATATAAATGTAGTGAGATTGTGAGAATTGAGAATTGGATGAATTGAAATTGTAACTAATAAACTTTAAAAATTGAATTGATATTGTATATTTTGCAGCACTAGAGAGTAAAAACTCGATAATTGATATAATAAAAGAGAGTTAAGAGAGTTGGAGTAGTGATTGAGTAATTGATAAGAAAAAAAACAAAGGAGGGGTTAAGGGGTATTTATAGTAGAAGGGGAAAAATAGAAAAAATAAATAAAAATTTAACGGTCACTGAAATTTTTTCGCGGCCACTTTCTTTGCGAGCCACAAGTCGAGCGGCTCGTGGCTCGTCATTTGAACGAGCCACCAACCAGCGTCTCGCTTTCGAGGCGAGCCAAGCATCTCGACGAGGCCCGTTCGGCTCGGGCTCGTGATTTTACGAGCCCGAGCCACCCAGGAGCCCTATTTTTATGAGCCGAGCCATCAAGCTGATGAGCGGCTCGGCCCTTTTGACATCCCTACAAGCAAGGCACCATGTCTATGACCACATACTACAATACCATCAAAGGATTATGGGATAAACCGATTGCCTTGATCGAACCTAATTCCTGCAACTATGATTCTCATAAAAAGATCGAAGAAACTGCCAAAATTGAAATATTGTTTCAATTTCTCATGGGCCTCAATGATTCTTTCTCCAATATCTGAAGCCAAATCCTAGCTATGGAGCCTCTTCCCACAATCTCCAAAGCATATGCCACCATGCACCAATAAGAAACCCAACGCCTCTTACAAGTTCCCTTGCTACCTAACCTTGAAACCACCGCCATGGCCATCACACGCAACCAATCTTCAGTCACCTATGGTTCTCACACTCACAATTGTTTAGAAGTGCACAAAATGTGGAAGAGATGGGCATTAAGAATAATCTTGCTTTGAGATCATCGGCTACTCTACTCATTGGACCACCAACAAACTAAAACAACATCAACAACGATCTGCTCATACTTTGGCCAGTAGTCGATCACATGGTTCAACCAGTAATCAACCACCTACAGCAAATATGGTGTCCACTCCATCAATTCCATCCACCTCGAGTGCCATTCTTGGTCTCTCTAACGAGCATTACCAATAATTGATGGAACTCCTACAGCCCAACACCAATGCGCTATCTACCTTCTCCGGTATTTTTCCCTCAATCACCCAAATCCCATGGATAATTGATAGTGGGCTTCGGTCCATATTTCTTGCATTTCAAATTTATCTAAAGCCACACATATTTGGGCCTATACCTAATCACTCACATTACCCACTGGTTCTAAGGCCCAAGTGACACATATGGGCCACATTTACATCTCCCCGCACCCAATGCCAGATAGTTGCGAAAAAGCATAAGCCGAAAAACACAATATGTGCCCACCTGAGCGAGGCCTATTTGGGTCATGTTATAAATGCCCTGGCTAAACCTATTGATGGTAGAGGTGAAATTTCAGGTCTCTATAATATTCTCTTTGTCCCTAACTTTAATTATAACTTAATTTCAATTAGTCAACTTACTAAATCATCTAATTGTGTTGTTGTTTTTCTCCCTCTATTTGTTTATTTCAGAACCAACACATGAGGAAGTTGATTGGAATGGGTGAAGAACGTGGAGGCCTCTACCACTTTAAGCATTTTACTCCAACTGTATTTCAAATCACGGCCAACCCTACAACCATACCAGATTTATGGTATCTTCGTTTAGGTCATCCTTCAAATTCTTGCATTCCAAAATCTTTATATAGTTCAAATAAAATTACAAATTGTGACAGTTGCATTCAACGCTAACAAACTCGCCTTCCATTCAAACTGGTCGAAAATAAAACTACCTCTATCTTTATCGCATTTTTTGTGATATTTGGGGTGGATATTCCATACCCTCCACAACTAGTGCACACTATTTTCTTACAATTGTTGATTTTTCACGCGTTACTTAGGTATATCTCATACATTTTAAATTCGATGCATTTACTTGTCTGACCACATTTATTAAAATGGTTCACATACAGTTTAATTATCCTATTAAACATGTTCGGTCTAATAATGGCCAAGAATTTCTCTCTCATCGTATGCAACAATTTTTCCTTGACCATGGTATGATCCATGAACGTACTTGTATTGAAACACCTCAACAAAATGGTGTAGCTGAACGAAAACATCATCACCTATTAAATGTGGCTCGACGCCTTCGCTTTCATGCACATTTACCAATTTCCTTCTGGGGTAAATGCATACTTACTACTACTTAAATGATGGACCTACCAACTCCCTAGAACCTGTCACCGTTTTACCCCATCACCTAGACCTCGATGTACTATTACTCGTCCTACATATCTTCAAGATTACATTTGCTCAGATCTATCTCCAGATGGACCACGTTCATCACCCCATTCCCAGTTTTTCTTAGGTACGATTCTTGCTTTACCTAATTTTCTTTCTTATCATTTCTTTAGTCCAAAACATTTTGCTTTCCTCTCTTCTATCTCCAAAAATGTTCAGGATCTTGCCCTTTACTCTCAAGCTGTCCTTGTGGCAACAGGCTATGGCTTTTGAAATTCAAGCCCTTGAAGCCAATCACACATGAACCCTTGTACATCTTTCTCCTGTTAAGAAAGCCATTGGTTGCAAATGGGTCTATAAACACAAAATTGCATGCAGATGGTTCCATTGAACATTATAAAGCTCGTTTAGTTGCTTAGGGACTCACTCAGGTAGAAGGTCTTGATTATAATGACACCTTTGCTCTTGGTGCTAAACTTGTTACTGTTCATTGTCTTCTTGTTATAGTTGCGGCCAAACATTGGATTATTGAACAATTAGATGTTCACATTGCTTTTCTTCATGGAGATCTTGATGATGAATTATATATGCGACCACCACTAGAATATTATCATAAGGGAGAGACACGCGTATGCTGTCTCCATATTCTTCATGGAGATCTTGATGATGAATCCTATATGCGACCACCACCAGAATATTGTCATAAGGGGGAGACACGCATATGCTGTCTCCATAAATCATTATATGATCTCAAACAAGCCTCACGTCAATGGTATTCGAAATTATCTCATATTCTCATCCTTGCAGGATTTACTCAATCTGCAGTGATCATAGTCTTTTCACCAAGATCTAGGGTTCAACATTTCTGCCATTCTTATCTATTTTGATGATTTTCTTGTTGTTGGTAATGACGTCTCTACCATTAATTCTATCAAACGACATCTTGCA